CTCTCTGGCATCTTTGTCATTATCTCTTTGACAGCTTGCCTTGCTTGGTGCTCAGAGTTCTAGGTCAGTTCACATGGCTAGTCAAACGTAACAACTTGACAAGATTACGGCAAGCCGCCTTCTGTAATTTGTAAATAGAGGGAGTTGCGTTCCAATCTGCTGCTGTTAATGAAGTGGCGGCCTGGGCGCGTGTACATCTGTGGAAGTGTTGTTCTGTGTGTCTGCTTGCAGATGCAACAACTGGCACGCTCAAGTATTTCTGTGCATTTCTCGCTAGGTGAAAAAAGTTTCCAGGATATAGCAAGAAAATAAGAATAAAAGTAAAGAATGCTCAAGTCATCCAAAGGAGAAAATCAACGTTTCTGGATGGGCAGAGTGCAGATCCTTCAATCAGAGAGAGGGAGGGAGGGAGGGAGGGGGAGACAGGGGGGAGGGAGAGAGAGAGAGAGAGAGAGAGAGAGTGAGAGAGAGAGAGAGACAGAGAGACACTGTCTCTCTTCACTCAGAGGAGAAGCTTTTTAAAGATGTGCAAATATCACCGATTCAAAGATAGAATTTTCTGGAACACTTTGTAGGGTTTTGTTACCTCTGGAGCAAAGGTGGTATTCAGCAGGTTCTGACCAGTTCTGGAGAACTGGTAGTGGAAATTTTGAGTAGTTTGAAGAACCAGCCAATACCACCTCTGACTGGTCCCGCCCCCATCTCTTCTCTGCCTCCCATCGACTCCCAGATGATCGGCTGGGTCTTCTTTGGTTGCCTTGCACAGGAGAATGGAGCTGGAAAGCAAGTCAGTGGGATGGGCAGGGAATGGGAATTTGCAGTAACCTTCCCCTGCCACTCCCACCAAGTCACGCCCACCAAGCCACACTAACAGAACCAGTAGTAAAAAAAATTGAATCCCACCACTACTCTGGAGACCCTAGAAACTCCCTGTAGATAGGATACTAATGCTAGAGAAGTAAACTATGAGCTTTGCACATCCTTATGAGCTGTGGTGGCACAGTGATTGAGTGCAGTACTGCAGGCTACTTCTGCTGACTGCCAGCTGCCTGCAATTTGGCAGTTTGAATCTCACCAGGCTGAAAGTTGACTCAGCTTTCCATCCCGTTAAGGTGGGTAAAATGAGGACCCAGATTGTTGGGAGCAAGAGGCTGACTCTGTAAATCACTTAGAGAGGGCTGTAAAGCACTGTGAAGCGGTATATATGTCTAAGTGGTATTGCTAGTGCTATTAATTCTTTTTTACTTAAACAGGGCCCCGTCCTTCATCCCAGTAAGATGCTTCCATTTTCCCTTAGTCGGTGCCAATAAACATGAGAAATCGTTAGATATTTATTTTGTCATTATTGCACTCTCCAGAGAAGATGCTTCTGTGACATTATTTTGTATCAAAATAACCGTTTCTAGACTGGGCGGGGCGTGTATCATCCCCCTAGAAATATAGGCCAGCTCCCTGCGTGGTGCAGGAATCGAAATTACAGGCAGTCCTTGGTTAACAACATTGACCAAATTTACAATCACAGTGAACAAATGACACAACCAAGTCCTCAAAGATCTGGCTATCCCATCATGATAGGGTTGTGTGACCAGGATTTGGGAATGTGGCAACTGCACACAGTTAGAGCATCCAGTAGACATGCGATTGTCATTTGTGACCTTCCCTTTGGTTTCCCCAAAATATTATTTGGGTGGTTAGTTGTGATGTTCAGTACCCAAATCCCAACCTAATTGTGTCAGTGCCAGGAAAATAAGCTAACAAGGAGAAAGAATGAAAGTTGTTACTTAAGGACAGCTTTCTAAAACTGGCAGTGGAATTGCTAAGCCGTTGTGCTTATCCTAGTATCCTAGCTTCTGAGATTTGTCAACTGCCTCTAAAGTGCCTGATGTTCTTCAGATATATTGAGACCATCTACCCCAATTTTTACATGCTGGGTGGAGCTACAGTTCTAAGACTTGGAAAGCACCCGAAGGCACCAGATTGTAGAAGATGGTCTATCTCCATTGTGGCCTCTGTTAGGCTGTAAATCCAACATTTTGAATTCTGTAGGGGAAGATAATTACAGTTTTAAGAAGAACAGGTTCCAGAATAAAGTCGGATATGCAGAATAATTCCTTTATGCTTTTTTGCCGTTCCTTCTCCGTATCATCAGTCAACTGAAATGCAGAGTCCACATTTGCATACCTTAATGTATAAGGAGAAATTACAAAAATAGGAAGCACTGCAGTCTCGTTGGAAGAAACTCAGTAGCCCCTGGGAAGGAAATGGGTGAGGTTTCCTTGTTCCCCTCTCACAAAGTGATTTGTGCTGCAGGTAGCATCTGCATGCAGAAGGCTCAGCTTTTGAACTTCTCAATTTTCGTAACATGTAATGGCGTGTTTTGAAATTAGCATTTAAAAAGAGGCTGACACTGTTCTTTTTTCCTCTGTGGAAATGAAATTTATTAAACATAATAAAATTGTCATATTCACATGGTAGAGGTCAACCTGAAGAGGACAAAAAAAAAAAAGAGAGAGCTATTCATCAATTGAGAAAGGACAATGATGCATGGTCTTAGATAACATTTATGGGTAGGTTCTCTGGAAAGATCTTCTTCCATAGAAGGATTGTTGTGTGACAGATTGGATTCTGGGAGCTATTAAGAGAAGAGCCATTCCTTTCAAAACACAACTTGATTAGCATTCCCTGCTTGTCCTAAGTAAGGCACATCCATATAAACTGGACGTCATGCTTGCATGGTTCGTCCATTTCATTTTTGTGGAGGAATTGAATGAAATCTTGACATTGGGTCTAAAGCAACATTTGAAGCCTTTCCTTCTCCAGCAAAAATATCTGATTTGAGAAAAACTCAGAAAGTTTCATGGCCTGTTGTAACATTTCCCAAGAGGAACTTTGCAATAGTCAATAGTCTTCAAGAGATTTTTTTTTTTGGGGGGGGGGGGGGGGGGGGAGATGAAATTTCTATCGGCAAGCTGTTGAGTACATTAGTGCTATTCATTGTTAGAAAAAGAACAAAAACATCATTCACAAAGTGGGCTGTCAGTTTAAACCTGGCCTTTTTGTATTTAGATGTTATCTGTTTTCATTATTCTTTATTATTTCAAAAGGTAGAGTGAATTACTTGTCCAATACTTGAAATACAGCGTAGTGTGTAGAAAATTCAGTGAAAATTCAATATATTAGTGCTAATTGTTAGGGGATATATATATATTTCTGAGGTTCTCGCAGGTATTTGTATGTGGATCTTTGGTTATTCAGGTTTTCTCCCACGTAAGATTGGAAGTATCTAGGCAACGTTTCGATGAAGTCTCATTCATCATCTTCAGGCTTGTGTCTTCGAAGCACAGAGCCGAAGACACAAGCCTGAAGATGATGAATGAGACTTCATCGAAACGTTGCCTAAATACCTCCAATCTTACGTGGGAGATAACCCGAATAACCAAAGATCCATATATATATAATTTATATATAATTATATATATATTATAATTTATATATAATTTCCATATGTCTCTATATTTACCTATAGATATATACACCCATAGAGAGAGAGAGAGAAATAGATAAATGAGGGGGAGAGAGATTGAGAGGGAGAGAGAGAGAGGACATATGAGCAATATAGCATGTGAGGCAATATATTAAACCAAGATAAAACCACAATAAAATCACCATAACCACAACAGCCATAAAATTGTAATGGGATAGATGTTATAATTCAATGTCCAATGAAGCTAACCACCTAACTGCCAGAAGCAGTGTGGTTGTGGTGAGATCATACCAGGCAGAATGGGACAACTCATCACAGCCAACTCACTGCAGGACAATTCAATATTTCTATTTAATTATTTAAAATAATTTTAAAGACATATTTTATTTTTTATCATTTTGTCCTTCCTTTGCCCTTCTTTCTTAAATGATTCTATTCCACCATTTCTTTGATAACTCATGTCCCACGGCAAGTTAGTTGGCCGTAGTAAGTCATTTCATGATGAGTTGGCTGTGGTGAGTTAGTCATGGCCAGTTGGCTGCAGTGAGTTGACTGGGGTAAGTTGTTCTAGACCCATACCAGGTGGCTTGAAATTTCCAAAGGGGGCACTCTTGAACTATGCCTATGGAAGAGACCACCATGATTCCTACTGCGTCAAAGGAAATGTTGGCCATACGTTCTCTTCTCTTCTATTGAAATGTTTAATGTCTTTGTTCTGCAGCTTGTGTGTTGTCTGCTTAGAGTTAATCTACTCCAGCTTATCATACATTTCCAATTGGCCCCCATTAGAGCCAATGCATTGTACAGTTGTTGGAATGCAGTACTGCAAGCTAATTCTGCTGACTACCAGCTGCCTGCAATTTGGCAGTTCAATCCCTATCAGGCTTAAGGTTGATTCAGCCTTCCATCCTTCCGAGATGGGTAAAATGAGGACCCAGGTTGTTGGGTGCAAGAGGCTGACTCTGTAAACCACTTAGAGAAGGCTGTAAAGCACTATAAAGCGGTATATAAGTCTAAGTGCTACTGCTATTGCTCTTCCTTTTCTCCCTTCCTTCCATTCTTCCTTCCTTCTTTTAATGGTGGTGTAGTGGTTAAAGTGCAGTATTGCAGGCTGACTCTGCCCACTGCCAGGAGTTCAATCCTGATTGGCTCAAGGTTGACTCAGCCTTCTATCTTTCCAAGGTGGGTAAAATGAGGACTCAGATAGTTAGTGCCAATAAGTTGACTCTCTAAACCGCTTAGAGAGGGCTGTAAAGCACTGTGAAGTGGTATATAAGTCTAAATGCTATTGCTAATGCTATTAGGGTCCTTTGTCACCATATCTCCAGAGGAGATGGCCTCCATAAATTGCTAGGTCAACTCATTTCCAACCCAATTGGGTAGAATGGGATGTGTTCAATTGCATTCATTTTCAATTCCTTTCTCACTCTAACTTCTGGGGTTGATGCTGTTTCTTTTTCCTTATTTCTTTGTAATCCCATTCCAAAATTAATCCAAAGCTCTGCTTCCTTTGTAGTTACGGACGACTTTATGCTGCAGACCCCTACCACCACACACTTGCTCCAGCAGCCACCTACGGCGTTGGTGCCATGGTAAGTGTTTGCCTCCTTCTCCCCCTACCTCCTTTTAACCCATCTTCCAGTGCTTTTTTCCCTCCCTTCCTCTCCTCCGTTCTTAACATGGTTGACATCTCCTCACTTTCCCTTAATTGAATTTGTCTCTTCTGCTAACGGCTGCTAAAATGCCACATTAATCCTTCCCAGTAAACTTGATAAATGTCTTAATTTCTTGGCAACGTAGTGCAATGTAAGTTATTATATATATAATTTTGCAAGTATCACCTAGCCGAGCACTTACCTTAATGGAATAATTAGTCATTTTGATAATTAAATCCATCAAGGCGTTCGCAGAGATGTCCATTTTCCTCACTTCCCGCCCCTTCACCAATTGAATTTATACAACCCTGAGGTCCAAGTCACACCGGTGCTTCTTACAAAGAGCAGAAAATGAGATTTCCAAGCTGGTATCCAGGCAGTTAGCCCACATCCTGGCTATTTCCTCTCGATTAGAGTTAATAATCCAAAATGAGTCATACGGCAAGAGAGGAAGGCTATATTTAGCCCATCCTTGACTTTTAGGGAAACGGTTCAGAAGAATCTGTAGTTGCACAAAGCTAAAATGTACCCATCCTAAAAAAAAAAAAAAAAAACCCACAGGGAAATTGCATTGGACACTGTTGATCTTTTGGGGCAAAGACCTCTCCTGGAGTCAAAAGTGAAGCCACATTTTTACCACGACATTAAAATAACCTGTAAAAATGAGCAAATGTTAGCATCAGCAATGGAGACAACTTGCTTGACGTTAACTGAATCCCTCTGACTCAAAAAACAAAAGACTCAATCCATAATCATTTTTGTTCACTGGGAGCCCACATTTATTGTTTGTGTTTGTGTGTGTGTGTGTGTGTGTGTGTGTGTGTGTGAGAGAGAGAGAGAGAGAGAGAGTGTTTGTATCCCAGCTCAAAAATATATATCATATAATTTTCAAGAACCTGGTGTGAAAGTGTTATACTGAAAGCATTGCATTCCTGTCTTAAATTTTATTTATATTTAAATAGCTGTAGTAGCAGCAGCAGCCCTTTATTTATAAGGCCAAATCAAAATACAAAAGAGTGAAGGAAATAATCCAGTATAAAAGCAATGTCTTAGCCCTTATAGCCGTATATCCTTACAATTTGCCCCACTCAAACTTGCACTGTGTTCTTCAGAAAAAAGGCCATTTTATAGGTGATATCTCTATGTGCTAACCATGCATAACATACAGGTAGTTCTCAACTTACAACAGTTCATTGAGTGATCATTTGAAGTTACAATAGTCCTGAAAAAAGTGACTTATGACCATTTTTCATACGTATATTTGTTACAGCATCCCCATGGTCACATGATCAAAATTCAGACACTTGGCAACTGGCATGTATTAGTGATGGTTGCATGTTTCAGGGTCATGTGATACCCTTGTCAGTGTTCCAACAACCCTCCATTCCGCCCAATAACCCTGAGACAGACATCTTCTCAAAGATTCCTTTTTATTTGGACAGTAACTGGAACAACTGGGGGAATCCTGAATCTGAAAATTCCTTGCAATAAGTAAAAACTACAAAATCCATCCCCTGCACCCATCATCACATGGCCCAATCACCATCCATCCCAAGTTAAGACTTCCTCTCACTTATGCACAATACAACCTGACCTTGAATCTGAAAAAGAATGTTATTATGTCTAACTAGATATATTCCAATGCATTTCCCACTTTCCCAGGCTCAGATGTGGCAGCGTGGGAGCATTGGATCTCAATATGGTTTCCAAAGCTCACACCCCTTTCACAACCTTACGGCAGGCAAAGTCAATGGAGAAACCACATTCCCTTAACAACCATGTTACTAGCTTAACAACCTCAGTGATTCACTCAATAACTATGGCGAGAGAGGTCATAAAATGGAGGCAAAGCCAGAGATGGTATTCAGCCAGTTTGGACCAGTTCTGGTGTATCGGTAGCAAAAATTTTGAGTAGTTCGGAGAACCGGCAAAGACCACATCTGGCTGGCCCCGCCTACCTGCCCCTGCCATTACCTCTCCTATATTCCCTTGACTTTTAGATCAGCTGATTTGCATGGCAGAACGGATTGCCGCGCCTCAGCTGAGATAAAAAAACCAGCTCAGCTCACAAGTGTTGACATAGACGGCAGTCTTTGAGCAAAGCACGCTTTCATACAACTGGTAGGAAAAAAATTGGAAGTGCACTACTGGGCAAAACACAATTAACAAATATTTTGCTTAGCAATGGAAATTTTGGGCTTAATTGTGGTCACTGTCAGCTCTCCAGGTAGAGAATCTAGAAAAGAAACTCCTGGGGCACTGTGCTTCCCAAAAGTAAAACTTTTTTGAATAAGCTACATGCTACATTGGCACAAGAAGAAGCGAAACCAGCTCTGGTTTTCTCTAGTTCAAACTTGCTTCTTCCCTTCGGCCATCCCTCTCAGTCCATTGTGTTCAATTACATCTGCTTTTTTGTTGTTGTTGTTGTTATGGGAACAGTGTGGATAGTTTAAACACCTGGGTTGTGTGACCTTGAGGCTGGCAATAGGGACTCACAATCTGCAGATTGAGTCTTGGCATTCCATTCCATCCCGACATTCCAACCAGCCCTCTCCCAATTGTTTTCAAGCTGAGAGCAAAGACACAATTAAGTGAAAGAGCCAAACAGAAGAACTCTTCTGAGTGTTCATCATAGCCAGGGTTCAAGATAATGTTCTGTGCCAGGCAATCAGTCAATACATGTGCTAATGTCTTTGTCTCTGCTGCATCACATATATGTTCCAAAAAGGAATTTGATTAAATCTTTCCTCTTTTATCATGGTGCCTGGCTATTCAAATCTCACATGGGCAAATAATCTCCTAAGATGCTTGGGCATTCTAATAAGTAATATTTTTCAATCTGAAAAATACATTTATAATTACTTGTCTATTCAGCATGCCAGCATTACGGAAAGCAATGGTATCTTTTTGAGTTTCTAAATGAAGGATTCTTGGTACAACAATTTTCTTAATCTTTTGTCCAATTGCTGCTTTAATAAGCCCACAACACCAATAATAAAATAGAATAGAATAGAATAGAATAGAATAGAATAGAATAGAATGGAATGGAATGGAATGGAATGGAAGGGAAGGGAAGGGAAGGGAAGGGAAGGGAAGGGAAGGGAAGGGAACAGAACAGAACAGAACGGAGTGAAGTGGAATGGTATGGAAGAATGGTGAAAGCCACATGTCTTAAAATTGCCAACTTTGAGAAACACTCAGGGGTAGGATTCAAAAACCCCAGCAACCGGTTCACTACACGGTTGCTAGGTGGACGTGGCCATGATGGGCGGTATCTACCGGAATGTTCTGTTTCCGGCTTCTGGTGGGCCAGATCTAAGCACCCTATGGGTCGAATCCAGCCTGTGGGCCTAAGTTGGACACCCCTGGCCTGGTTATGTTGTGCTGTGAACCAGGATGAGCTCCCCTCCTTTGCTCTAGTTCTTACCAGAGACATGAAAGGAGCCCCAACTGGGCATCCTCTAGGCAACGTGGATGTCACTGGCTTATCCTTTCAACCCAGAAGCACCTCGGTCCTTTCGACACAAATACAATTTAACAGTGATATCCCTATGATCACACTTGCAGGCTTCTCCACTTTTAAGGGTAGAACCAGAATAAGTTATTTTCACCATTCCATAAAGCGGAGGCTTTTTTCATCCCATATAATTGTCCACACAACTTGATGGGTGGACTTGAAGAAACCTTCATTATTATTATCCATGTGTATGTAGAGGTGGGCTGCAAAAATTTTAGCCACAGGTTCTCTGCCCTGTTGCTAGGTGGGTGTGGCCATGGTGGATGTGGCCTAGTTGGCCTCCTGAACCATGGCAGGAGGGGGCATTTGTGCCCTCCCCGGGCTCTGGAGGCTTTCCTAGAGCCTCTGGGAAGGCAAAAAACACCTCCCTGGGCTCCGGAGGCTCTGTGGAAGCTGGAAACGGGGCCATTTCTGGCCTTCCCAAACTTCCGGGAGGCCCATTTTTCACTCTCTCTGAGTCTTTGTGTGTGGCCTGCACTTCCCTGCATCCTAAACAGGCCACGTGGGGACTCCTGGGAGGGGAGGCGCAGGGTGGGTGGGGCCAGCCAGGAGTGGTATTTGGGAGTTCTCCAAACTGCAGAGTCTTAGCTAGGGGCTCTTCCGAAACCCCTGCGAACCCCCAGCAGCCCACCCCTGTGTGTATGGGAATTTAAGCATTTAAGCAGTTAAATTAGTTTTGTTTTTGGGGGGGGGGAACATGTCACCCCATAAGGGCTGGCTTTTAAGTGATTTGGAAGGACAAAAATGAAAAAAGCATCTTTTCCAATGGACTGGAATTTTTTTTAAAAAACCACAAGGTAATGGAAAGCAGTTTACCAGTATCACTTTTTTCTTTAATTTGGAATTACACATCTTTGTGAGAAATTAAACTTCCAAAAGGAACATGTTTAAAATGTTCTGAATCGTTAAGAAACAGATCTTTTGACTGCTATCCCCAAAATTAGTTGAGATTGAGAGCAGGCAGCTACGAGTGTTGTGGTTGTTAAGCAATTTAAAAATGAATTAGAAAAAAAAACCTCTTTCCTTTTCAATTTATTTTATTTTTTAAAAAATTAAATTTAGGAATCAGTGGACAAAATTGCAAGAAGTTTTTTTAAAGTTTTTTTAGGTGCATATGTGTGTGTGTGTTTGTGTGTGTGTGTGTGTGTGTGTGTGTGTTCAAAACTGTCATCTTACATTTTCCTCAGATTTTCATTTTACCCACTGAGTTTGGGTAAATTATTTGGTCCCAGTCTTTATGAAAACGCTACTCTTGAAAAGATCTCATCCGTCTATAAAACATAGCGAATAGTTTAGCCTGGTATAGCAATAAGCACTTAGACTTATGTACCGCTTCACAGTGCTTTTACATCCCACTCTTAGTGGCTTACGGGGTCAGCATGTTGCCCCTAACAATCTGGGTCCTCATTTTACCAACTGT